CGCTGTGCCTCGGAGCGGCGCGAGGAGGGAGCGACCGGCTTCCACCTCCCCGGAGCCGCCCGGGGCCCCATCTTCATTTGCTGCCCGGTTGGCAGCGTCTGGGCCAGCAGCTCCGACTCAGGTTTAACACCTCGAGCCAGTTGGGCGATTGGCGAGGTCGCAGGTGCCCCTCCGGGTTTTCTGCTGGGGTTCTCTGTCCTGCCGGCAGGTATATCAGCGCTGGCCAGGAGCGGTACACGGGCCTTACGTCCCGCTGGCCTGTGCGCGGTCGTGCGCATTTACGGCATAAGGCTTGTCCCAGTTTCCTTAACGAGCGAAGTAGCTCGCGCCCCGAGGCTGCCAGTCTGGGAGCCGTCCTTCTGGGTTTCCCCCCCTCTCGGATGAGCCTTTCTGATGCCGCTTTAAGCCTCCCCTTAAGAACCCGCCCGCCCGCCTCCTCCTCGCTGCTCTGCGCTCTGGCGCTGGTGCCCCCCATCGAGGCGCAGATCGACAGTTCGACTTGGTTTTTGCTCCTGTTCCTAAGTCCCCTTGTCCTCCTGCACTGGGAATTCCTGAAGGTATAAGCGGCGTCCTACTTCCCTTGCACCCTCCTCTGGAACCAGCATTGCCGCTCGCACGCACGTGTGTCAGGCCTGCATCCGCTGGTCTCTCCGTTGGAACCTTTAGAATCACTGAGCTCCTGGGAACCCAGGTGTGCACCCAGCTTCGCTTCGTGCTGGTGTTGGTAGACCTCGGTCAGCCTCGATCCCGTGCTCACAATCTGGGTGATCTGAACAGGTTTCTAACCTCTATGAATCTGTTGTCTTCTTTTAAAAATTAAAATCAAACCAACCCCCTGTCTGTCAGGGTTGTTTTGGGGATTAAATGAGATAAGAAATGTAAAACTCTTTTGATGGAGGAGGTGCTCCGTAAAAGGTAGCTATAATTTTTTTGTTAAAAGCGGGGCAAGATATCTGTAGGAACCTTTGAAGCACAAAATTATTCTCTGCTTCCTTTCCCTGAAATTATGTTTACTAAGCGTTCAGCGCTGAGTGGTTTATTTTCAAAGAACACGGACCATCTGACAGAGGGGAGTGCATTTTAGGGAGGGCCTTGTCCTTCCTACTCTCCCTGTCCCTTGCACTTTGGGTGGATACAGGGACAGATCTCAGTCTCCCATCTTTGATTTTCAGACATGGCCTTGACACCTAGCATGTGGACAGCCTGCGTCATAAATGTCAGAACCTCAGTTTCTGAACAGTTTGACTGTCCCCATTGTGTCAGCCCTGGCTCTCCTACAAGCTGGAGGGGCATAGGGCTTCGGTCAGAGGTCCTGCCTCAGACTTCCTGTGGGTCTTCTGGGGATGTTCAAGTCAATAGATACTTGATTGATTGGTTACCTTTAATTCTGAAGAAGCTGGGATGGGCAATGAACCCTTGTGGGGTCTGAATTCTGGCAGGGCATGTCCTGCTAAGAGACTGTGTGGCAACCCGTCCTGGTGCACAGGGCAGGCTGGCCAGATTTGGTATGAGGCTCCTGGCATGTGAGACAGAAGTTGGGGCTCATTTTTTGACTTTGTCATTAACCCTGCCTCCCTGAGGCCATGCCACTAGCTCTAATTCGCTCGGAGCCAAAAAGAGAGTAATAAATACAACTTTTTTTCCCCCTTGAGGAGGGAGAGTGTTTTAAGGAGAAACAATATATTTAAGTTTGTCAGCTTCTCCCAGTATCTTGTCAGACTTATTTTACATAAATATTGCATATATTGTAGTCTGTTTCTTAATAAAGTTGCTACCTGACATTTTATTTGACAGTATAAAATTCTGGTAGTTTTGCTCCTCTCTTGTTTTTCAACTCCGGTGTTCCTTCATTTATAATTGTATGTTTTACATCGTCTGTTGTGGGCACTGTTAACTCCAGGTGTCTGCCCTCTAGGAATCGCTGAGGCTGGAGGAATGCCTTTAAAGTGATGCTAATGGAGTAATAACACCAATTAATCACAGCTAACCTTTTTAGAGTACTTAGCATGTGCTAGGCACTGTTCTAAGCACTGCATGAATTAATTTAATCTTAGTTGAAGTCTATTAGAGAGATGTAGGTACTATTATTATTTTTACTCTATAGATGAGGAAAGTTCAGTAACTTTCTCAAGGTCGCACAGGTAGAATGTATCAACAACTGGAACCAATAGTCCATCCATCACAGAAGACTTCTTGGAAGATTTGAGTTTTATTCTGAATCTTTCACAAGGTGATATGATAATTGGACTCTTGGGTCCTTCAACCTGGAAGCTTGGACAAGTGTCTAAACCAGGGATCCCCATTCAGTCTCTCCAGCCCTCAACCTCCCTTTTTTTTTTTTTT